TGGTAACCCTGATTCCGAACCGATGGTATACATCACAATTGATTGATCACTGGGTGGTGATCGATATCATGCTTGTCTAGTCCTTATTAGTGCAGATCGAATGCTATCGATCATGTTGCAATGTGGCCACCAGTCTAGGTGACTCGACACTGCGGGCACTATGTATTGAGATTTAGATGGTGGTTGGAGGTAGTCAACCACCATCTAAATCTCGATGGTATACATGGACTCAAAGATACTGAAGGAGCAAATGACGTATAAAACCATTGCTGGTCACTGGCTACTATGGGACTGTGTATTCTGACGTTGCTCTACTGCCTTGTAAGTCAGACCTTTAGGTCGAAAGCTTGGGGTATGGCCTCCTAAGAGAAACACGTGCTTTGGTCTGTGAACCTGGGCAGCATCACAGCTCATGCACAAATCAAGTGACTTGTCTGGCGTCTATGCATTCAGTGACCCTTTGTACCCATATTTGTGTTTTCAAATAAATAAATAAATAGTATGTTCTTAACCTTTATTTTACTTAATTAATTATTCACGAGAATTATTGATTTAAATATTAGAGGTACTCAAGAAAACTCTTATGAAATTCCAATAATCGCAATGAGAGTAAACACTAGTTTCATTGACCTTATTTATTCACTGCCTAGAAATAAACTATACCGACAATGTTGAACAAATTTTTAACTAATCATTAGATTCTTTTTAGTTATAAAATACTTTGTAGCAAGGGAGTTAATAAGATTCTAGTCGATTAACAGGGAATGTTTCCATGTCGGAAATCGAATCAGTAGATGAAAATTGCGAAGTGCCTTATTAATAAAATGGTTCATATGACTGAAAAGCAAGTTCTTTTTGTTGAGACAGGATATTCATGTTAGTAATGTTTTAGAGGGTATCATATAGCTTCTATGTGTTTTTTTTGTGTTCTCATGTCGGTGAAACCTAAAAATGTCGCTTTTACATGACAACTATGTGGTGGTAGACGTTTCTTCAAAGATTCAAGTATTCCATCCAGTCATCTGAGTACATAGTAGTTCCAGGTACTACGGAAGTTTTTTAATGAGAACAGTATTGTAGCTTGTCTATATGGAACAAATTCAAAGTAGTCCTTTCCAAGTTACGTATTCCAAATCCTCAAAATCTATTGTGATTAAAGTGATGGACTACCGGTGTAGGGTGCTTTGAACTTCTCTGCCGTCTGAAATCTTATTCGTTCGTTATTATAGCTTACTTCTACAGCTTTCGATAAAATCTGAAAGTCAATGATTCCAAAATAATGTGCTGAGAATCTTTTAACTGCAGTGAGATAGCTAGATAGTACTTCTTTGATTTTCACTCGTTAAATCATCTGACATCAATTCGCGATACGAATTACCAATGCTTTATATTCAACCTTATTTTGTTAATTTATCGAAAGGTTGAAGAATAATGTCTAATAAAACTTTGAGGGTGCAGAAATATTAGTTAACTAACCTGGATGTAAAAGTTGAGAATATATGTATTTTCAGTACAGAAGGGGGGATTCTTTGAGGTTGTAGAACCTTTATAATTTAAACAACGAACTGATTTTAGCTAGACCTTCACTAGAAGCATTGAACAACTATGAAATTCCGACTATGAAATTCCTCAATAGTGAACAAACACCACCACGCTACAAGAGACCGAACTCAGGAATTCCTGTCTTGCGTAAGAATGCTTAATTTCTAGACTATAAAAGCAATATCCAATATAATTATTCACTAGTAAATTTACTCAGATTATAGATACTCTAAATGTGAATAGTATCGATTAGGGAATGAAATCCAGTCAACTGGGTATGCGTTAAACTGAATAATCATTGCTTTTTTGTTGGACTTTAGTTTTTTGTTCATTGACTATAACTGGCAAATTACTCATGATCATACTAATTAGGCATGATCATTATTTTACAAAACATGAATAACTTAAATTTAGAACACCCCATTTGAAAAGTTATCTGGTTAGTTGTTTTATTAACGAAAATTTGTTTACTTGGGATTTAAGGTTTGATTTTATGTACAAAATTCCAAATTGATCGTCATATCAGTTGTTATGTTATAGGATGGATTAATTTGTCTTCAGTATTTTGTTTATTGTTACGAAATAATGATAATTTTGAATTTATAAATGTAGATTTTAATGGAGTTATGGAAAACGAGTGATTTATTTGTTCAAACACATATCTATTAGTACAAAGAGGCAACGAATACATATGTGCCATACTTCGTCATTTGATTTGTGTGAAGGCTGGAGTACTACTCGGTCTCCCAAACCGAGGCAAATGATTTTCTTAGAGGTCCACATTCTGAGCCTTTGACCTACAGGTCTAATCCACAAGGCAGTGGAGCGACGTAAGGAGATACAGTCCCATGATAGCCGGTAACCAGTAATTGGTTTATACGCCATTTGTTCCTTCAGGATACTGGAGCTTATTTGCACTATTGGTTTGGAATCAGGGTTTTCCAACTCCCCTAGATGGTTTTTCCTTATCCACCAACCAGGTTAAAGCGCTGGACATTCGTTTTTTGTCCTCTCAATTTCGTAAACAACATCCCCGTTACAAGAATGCAGTGAATAGGACAGTGATTCTATACGCGTGGCCATATGAGAACATTTCGGGAGGAAGAGCTGTCTTTCTCCACCCGCAACCATACTAGGGAACTGAATGGAAACGATCATTCGTACTCTTAAACTAGTTGTTCTTGTTATGTCTAGAAAAATGGTGTCTACGTCATATTACTGATCGGATTGTGATTGGCAGTAGTATCGCTCATGTTACGAAGAAAATGGAAGTGATTGATATTACACACATGAACACTTATAAAGTAATATGAGAATAGTTAGTATATGACGTTTGTTTTACTGACGAATAATAAACAGGTAGAAAAGTTATGGTGAGGTTACTTACAGCTCTTTCAGGTATGTCATACCCAACACTATCTGTTATCAGTCCATTCTTATAATGGGTGAATACTCCATATTTAAATATAATTTTCATTAAAGATTTCATAACAAGTGAATGCAGTTTTCTTAAACTGTCTACCAAGAACATATTGACTTGGGACGTTAGGACATGAAGCGAAATCTTTAATAAAGATTACATTTATTTATGCAACACTAACCCACTAAATGAATAGAAATTTGATTAATATTACCACGTACACAACATTTAGTGAAGATTGAAAGCGTTACTAATAACATCATTTAAAAATATTCAATTTGTAGATCCTTGTAATTCACTGTTTTAAAAAGTTCGACATCATTTAAACATAAGTTAGGTATTTTAATTTGTACTACTATATATTCTGAGTAATCTCACCTCGTTTATACACACAGACTCACCAGATGTTGATATTCTTTCAAGTTAATGACATCGGTTAATCAAACAAGAGGACAATAGATATCGGTAGTTATTGATTACATAGATGGTAGACAGAAGAGTGTACGAAAACTAATAGGAAGAGAAAAGAGAGGAAGGGAACAAATTGAAATAAAGAAAACGAGATTATTGGGCAGTTTTATATAATGTTTGCGTGTGTCTAATGAATAACGATAGCATTATAATTTAAGAGGTGTTGTGGAGACCAAATGTATAAGTAAGCTATATTTATCACAAACTGACCTTAGTTCGAGTATCATTTAAGACCAGGACACACTAGACAGTTACTTTTAAAGAACATGGGACCCAGCATGAGAACCCACAATTTCACCATAGATTATATTCAGGACCTTCACGTTCACCAGCGAGCGATTAACTATCAAAACTCTTTGTTCAATGTCTCCAAAATAATCCTCCAGTTAAAATATAACAATGAGCTCATTAATGAATTACTCAAAGATGTTTCTAAAATCCTCGTATGAAGTCTAAGCCGTTGGAGGTTAGACAAGCTAGGTGTGAAACATTTGGTGACAGTTATACTGGATGATCAGCACTCTATGTCGTGAAATGACTGAAATTGGAAGTGTATCAATAAATACTGAGCCTATGAATGTAATATTTGAGTGTTCTCAGAAAGACTTGAAAGTCCTAAGAATAATCCCTGGTGGGGTCGTTGGTGGACACTGTTAAGTGATCCCATACTAGCCTGAAAAAACTATCCAGTCATTCTCTGTGTTGCTTAAGCTAACATCGTGCAACATATAAAATACCAGTAATCATTGGTCCACTGAGTTTGACTAATTTAAAATGATTGATTGTTGAGGTGCTTAAGATAATTTAATTTTCCAACTCCACTATTCTTGAGAATAGTCTTTTCATGATAAAAGTCACGTTTGAACTTCTCTCATCAAATCTGTCTCAGAAAAAGTTCTAATCCATTCTTCGTACATGTGGTTACTAACAGTAATAGTCACTGATTTTTCAGCGCGTAGTAAACAAGATTGTAATAAATTTTTCTTTTTTTATTTTGTTGTCGATCAGAGCGTTATATAAACGAGTCTATATAGACTGTATTTCAATCTCGACCTAATTTACTAATAATGTTCATGTGTATTTCTTTATTTTAATGCTACTTTACATCTGAGGCTCAGTAGTTGTAGAAGTGAATAAAATATCTGGTTTCAAATCCTACGTTTTCAAAGACTCTCTAAATTAATTCGTTTCACAAACACAGAATTAGATAAGAATCGCTGATTCTGTGAAATCATTTAACCATATAAGGTGGTTGGAGACAATCCACATGAAGCGCCGAAACTAGGTTCCTATTTGGTTATTACTTCTCATCAGAGTATATCTGAAATCTACAGGGAATTAAAAGCCATGCCGCCTATTGTCACAATTACAGAGGTATTGCGATCACAACTGAATTATTGCAAGAATGAGATATTTACATTCCATGAGTTGTAATTAAGTTAAGCTTGATCATAATAATATCTTTTATTTTAGTCATTTATAAACAATCTTAAAAGTACATTTTGATTTCTTTTTCATATCAAGTAATTGAATTACCTGTAACCTACCTACTATCACTGATGTTAAAATGAGTGTGAAAGGATTTTTTAAAAGTGTATTAAATCCTGATGCGAAAGTTGGAGAACAAGAAGAAGAAACTGGGACCACCGGGGCCACATCAACAACAACTTCATTGTCTAGTTCAGCTACAGCTGGAGTAAATAATTTTCTATCTGGTACATCCAAATTTCTTGATTCTGTTCAAACAAAAAAGAATGGTTTAATTAATGATTTATCGAATAAACTAACGTCATTGAAAATGCCCGGCGAACAGTCGACCAATGAGAGTGCAAAGAAAAAGAAATCTAGGAGTAATGTTGATGATGATGACAGTTCAGCCAGTGAATATGGAGATGATGGTGATTGTCCAATGTATGCAGAAGTAGCCCCAGTAGAACGTCAAGTATCAGTTGAAAGTATAGACAGTTTGCCAGATGAAGATGCTGAACGACGTAAATCGGAAATTCGTGCCTTAGTTTCGGATTTACTTCAACAAAGGTAAATTGATGGCCGATATATTATAATGTAAAAATGGGTTACTGTTTTTTGGGTAAATGGTTGTGCAAGTAGTTTAGTTTGTAGTTCTACATCACTAACTGACTTCAGTTAAGGAATTATTTGAAACTAGGAAACATTGAATAACGGTTTCGTTCTAGTACGCGGTTCCTTAAAAATGCACATCAAGCACAGATCGCACCCAGGACATTCACGTTTCACAATAAATCCTTTAATTCACAGATCAGAGTATTGGATACGATTGGTTTACATTTATAACTTTGGTAAAGTTATTACACTGAGTCAGTGATATTACTTTCACATCCGACGTCGTCCAGATCGACTGATCATCGTCTCTCACTAGAATTCCAGCAGTTACCTCTCAAAGTAAGTTACCAGTAAAACAACCCATTGTTTGGATAAAGCTATTCTGTGATGTAAAACTACAAAATTCATAGAATATCGATCTTAACCGGGATCATGAACACTTTTGCTGTTTGGTTTAATTGTGTATATTCGTTAATTTATTTGTTTTTATCAGCGTTACGGATGGGTAGCTGTAAATGATATGACAAGCCAACCAGAAGTAGCCTAATGAGAAGGTCAGTCGACGGTAATCAGAAGTGATTTAAAAGACAAGTGTATTACATTGGCTAAGAAATAGAATAATTTCCTAAGAGATAGAATGGCATATATATATGTATATATATTACTTTCCCGTTTACTCTTATGTTCTCGTTCAAGCAGTCAGTTAAGAAGTTAACGCATAGGACATTGTGTATCAGTATCAGATTTCAGACACCACTCGTTATAGTAGTAATAATGTTATTTGAGATCCCTTGAGCATACTATCTTGATTCCTTATTTATTCATCATTGTAAGCAAGAATAAACGTTTATTAGATGTGTACTCAACTTAATAGTCAATAAAGATTAGTAATGCAATTCAGTAGTTAGCGATCTCTTCACCTTCAAATAGTCTTATCGCTAGGTCAAATAAATTAGTCAGATACAAGAAATAAAATCCAGGTGATCGTATAAATGAGGACAAATATCATACGTGTCAAATGACTGAGCTGATGTTTTTTAAAGCATGAGAAATTTATTCCTATTTCTCTCTGTCACTTGGTCTTGACAGTCACTTAAAAACCCACTTCTTTAAACATTCTTTGGAAAGTCCACCTTCAACAAATAATGTAATTTATCGGGTTTAGTAGCAATTTACTACTATGATCACTCCATTCATGTTATTTCATACATTTGTTTGAAACAGTGAGACTGAGAATCTAGTTGATTTGCTCAAATAATTAGTGTGAAGTTCTATAATAATGAGGTTCAGAGAATGTATCCTTTCAATTACTATTGAATATCCATTTGATATGATATTCATAACTGATTCATGAAAAAATATCTATGTCAGGGAATACGAATTATTTAATGGCACAGACCATTCAAATACCCTTTGAGTATTTATGAAATAGTCTAATACTGCTGGGTGATTTCGGTATTGTTTAAAACAGCACTTCATTTGTTCTAAAAATATACATGCTACTTCAAGTAAATGTAAATGAGAGTAGAGCTACTTAAAGTAAGTCTATTATCTAAGCTATATTTTTTGAGTAGGCTTATATATATATATTATATATATATATCAATGAATGTCCTTATTGATGAGTTCCCTTTTTTCCTCGCACTTTCTCTCGCGTCCTTATTTGAGTGGAATAAATAACAAGATACAAAATTATATGTTTTGGATAAGTGTGTATCTACATGCACGACCAATTAAATAATCATGATGTGGTAACATGAACTAATCGCTAAATACCTAATCGTCATTTATAAGCTTAAGGGTTTTTTGAAAGTGATGAATTTTGTAGTGTGCATCATGGGTTAACCTTAATCAAACTACAAATAGGGACTGGAATTGTAAATTATTGAACTCCAACAAAGTGATCTGGAAGTGAGGCGCTTCTCATGAGATTGTGGATTAGCAGTACTGAGGTTTCTCATGTTAGAACAAAATAGCTATCCAATATTTCCTGACTTTCACTGATTATCTAAGTAGGGTGAACCGGTGAAATAAACTCTCATAATATAAGGTTCAGTCATCACAGTATGTAACAGCAACAATAAATTATCTATTTTAATCCTCTGAATAAAATTTTCTGTCATTGTTTAATTTCTTATTCATTTTGAATAATTAAAGTCAATTATAGCTTCATCTTTCCATTTATCTTACTACACACTATTCATTCTTAAGCTTGATCAATGAGAAAATGGTGAAGAATTTCAGAGATTTCATTGTGGTAAGTTATTTTAACCCATTGAATTATTTATTAGTGTAGGAATACATTTAATACCATCTTAGTTACTACGTAAGATTATTGTAAGTTTGAAGTACTTCACTTCACTTTCTGCTTTGGTTCGTCCACGCGTTTTTTTAACAAATCCATTTTTTTTTCATTGAGAATCTTGATAATATGATTTATTTACTGAGCGAATAATATAGAATTGCTAAATAATTCCCTTTTTATGACTATTGATTTTTCAGTGTTCAAAGGATACATAAAAATGTTACTAGTTTCTATGTATATTCATACACAAATGTTTACAAATATTCTTGCTCTGATAACATCTCTTTTCATCGCTGAATAAATATGATGTATGAAACCCGTAGTAATTACTTCTGTTTACCTCAAAGGACACAGGAAAGAAGATATACGAAGTATAGTGAATGTACTTTTTGAGTCTTTCAGGAATTATACTAGTAATAGGTTTGAAACACTTTATGAAAGCGTATAAATGTACTCGGTTGGTAAACTCAGTTCATAAATTAAAACAGATCTAAGCAAATAGATAGATTCGTGGTTAGCAGTAGAATTTAGGATGTGTATTTCGCTCTATTTAGAACTCAACAGGTGGATACACCTGGGGTGAAATGAAAGACACTGGGTTCAATTTCGTGTGTGAACATCAACACTGAGATTCAGGTACATCCAGCTGATAAGTCTCAAGTAAGTCAATAATGAAAGTACTGGATTCTTCTCTTAGCCATAAATTCATCTACACCATAAAAATTTATGAAAAATGGCTATATGAAGGCAATCCTCACAGCAGATAACACATGACAACAACGATCAATCAATACGATTTGGATGTTAGATAATCCAATTTAAATACATTCAAGTTTGAAATAAAAAACATCAATAGTTCCCATAAAAACAAACTTTTGTGTCGACAGTTATTTAATGTATATCGACGTCAATAACTCAACATATTGATAGTGACCACATCACTGATTACTTTCTATAAAGATCTGTCACTAAGAGAACTATTGAGATTTTGTTTAGACAAATAACATAGTAATTGTTTTAAAAATTATTCCTATTAGATTTGTTTAAATGTGAGTACACAACCAATTCAAAGTAAAATGTGCAAAATATATTTATTCGGTTCTGTTCCTGCATTGTAATACTTTATACTATAGTGCCAGGGTTAAGCGAGTTGACCATGAAACAACTATTGGCTTTAATTAGTCATCTATCCCAGAATTTGTTTAAATAAAGAATTTGTTACTAAGATAATTTGTATAACTGAAATGTTTTTAGCGTTTCCTATATGATTTAGGAGTATTTCCAATGCATACTATCAATGCTTCGACCTTAATATCCAAGACTAAATGGTATAGACTCGCGTCTATATAACTGTAAACAAGTTTATTCTATTATTTTTTTTATAAGGTAGCACAGCTTCTACATTCTTTGTGAATGAACACTAACAAATATGTCAACAGAGTGGCACTGATAGAATATGAGTCTGTGTGCACATTTGGTTCCCATTAGTGTATTTAGGCCAAATCACCTGTAATAGTATTACTTGGATAAGATTCAGTTTCAAACATAAACTATAAAAAACACAAGTTCTGATTAGTTTAATTTATCAACAAAATTTTCAGTTTCGGGGTTGTGGCGATTGTTAAGTTTTTTTCATTGCGATTATGAACCGGTTGATGTCAGACCACCATTGAAAACCTGGAAGCACTGGATGGCCGTTTCGTCCTATTGTGGGACTCCTCAGTAGTGTGCATCCACGATCCCGCTCGCGGAATTCGAATCCAGAACCTTAAATCTCGCGCGCAAACGCAAGCCTTCAGTTCATGATCTCACTCAAAAAACCTAACAATCTCCACAACCCCTAAGTTGATAATTACCATGTGCTCCTTAGTGACCAGCTTCGTGAGAAAATTCTCGGAGTTCTGGTGAGAAGCCATGACCAGTGGAGCTAATCCATGTCGGGTAGCAACAAGTGTCTACCCCAGTACAGTGGAAGATGGTCGCAAAATTTCGTGGATTGGTTGAGGTTAGACATTAACACCATTGGATGGTGGCTCAGTGGTCCAGTAGGTTAAGCGTTTGCGCACGAGACCGGAGGTTCTGGGTTCGAATCCGGCGAGCAGGATCGTGGATGCTCACTACTGAGGAGTCCCACAATAGGACGAAACGGCCGTCCAGTGCTTCCAGGTTTTTAATGGTGGTCTAACATCAATCGGTTCATGATCTCAATCAAAAATGATTTCCATTTAGTAGATAAGTAACACATATGTAGTTATATCGAATTTCTCGTTCCAATAAGCAAGTTTAACTTGTCATCATCATTTTAGCATGTTTTAACTATATTTTGCAAATAAAGTTCATGAAATTAATCAACAAACGATTGTTAATCAGAAGTAACCGATCTAATAGTCATCAAAACACTTTATATGAACAATAAAAATATTTTTCAGTTATTATTGAAAACAAATAGTGGCTTACAAGGGAATCTAGGATGTATATTTCGTCCTATTTAGAACCCATCACTTGGATATACCTCAATCTCATTGTTGATGTTCACACTTATGTTATAATTCAGTACTTTTTGCTTCAAACACCAACTGACTATGTTGACAGTAGGATGTACATCCATGATGATACGAAATAATGGATAGACAATATCGTTGGATAGTTTTAGTCAATCGATAGGAAACCCTGTATTTTAATTCAGTTTTCTTACTCGACTGTAAATGTCAGTAACATTTTAGTTAAAGATATCTTTTAAAAATGAAACTCATATCTTTGTTACCAGTATGGGGATTTGTGGAGGTTGTAGTATTTCCAAAGTTGAATTCATGAATCAGTCTGAGCTAGACCACCACTGAAAACTTGGAAGCACTGGATGGCCGTTTCGTCCTAGTATAGGACTCCTCGACAGTGAGTACCCTCACTCGGTATAAAAACCCAGGACCTTCAGTTTTAAGTGTGAACGTTTAACCCCAAGACCACTAAGTCAGCATCCAATCATGTAAATGTATGACTTGAATCGACCGATGATCCTGCGCAACCCTTCATCCATTGTCTGAGGTGGATAACTCTTTCCACCCGACATGTGTTGGACTCCACTCATATTTTTGACACAAGATTTTAATGTAAGTTATCCGAAAATGGTAATAACAAATATTAACTTATGGCTATTCATATGAGCAGTATTCCAGTAGTCACGAATAAGTCATATGTTGCTGTTTTATTTTTAAAATGTCTACGTAGTAATATGACCGATTTGGCACTGTTTATTCAAAATCCACATTACTGATGATTTTCTATGAAGGTATAAGATCCATGAAATGTAATATCATTTTCTTACAGAATAAAACTAAGATTTATAAGTGGTTTAATCTAAAGAATAATTTGAGATTTCACACTTTTAAACAAATATTTCTATGCATTCAATACATTGTTATGATCTGATGTCCTGTTCAATTAATGTGGTCAGTCCTATCATTTAACTAACTCTAAAAGAGAAGCCAAAGACTACAAAGAAAACTGTATCACCAACAACGAAGTATTAATCGCTTAATCATAATAGTTACTTTGGTCCCATTTATCATGAGAGTTGGGAAAACGGCGAGACTATAATTTATGGATGAACCAATCAGATTTAGGATTACAGGTCTTGGATTTTGGCACGAAATTCATTCATTCATTTGACTAAATATTATTTCGGCATTATAACCGGTCTCAGTTAGTGATGAAAACATTGAATCTAATTCCTAACCTTAACGATCAACCATAAATTCTAATCCTCATTCTTTACACTAATTTATAACCCTTATTTAACCCAATTAAGTAGGTAGACATTTTCAAGATCATCTTGGTGTTGCTCAAAGGTCGTCCATAAATTATAGTCTCACCGAAAAAAACCTATCCTTTTTTCAAATTTACTCAGTATACGGCGCTACATACACTATTAAGATAATGATCAATCAGGAAGATATACTGACACAGACTTTTGTTGATTTGATCAAAGTATTCTCTCTTTATGATCTTAATCTGACAAGTATTTTGTCGAATTACTTCACTAATGATACATTTTATCCACTTACTTATTAGTAAACTCTTTAATAATCTATTTCCTGTAATTATGAAAAGTGGTTAGATCGTCTGATATGATCAAAGAAATTTCGGTTGTTTTATAGACAGACAGTTGACTACATTCAACAGAGACAGCTAAAGCCTGGATGATTAAATTTCTTAGCAGTTAGAATAAAAGTTATTTGGATGAGGCTATAATTTATGGATGACCTTCGAGCGACGCTAGACTGACCTTGAGAGTGTCCATCTAATAACTAGGACCAAATGTGAGTTATAAACCTGTGCAAGGAATTAGAACTGGGATTTACAGTTGATGATTAAGGTTAGGAATTGGACTTAGAGTTTTCATGACGAACTGACATCAGCTATAATGCCAAAACTCAATTTATCCAAGTGGATGAGCGAATTTCGCGCCAAAATTCGAGACCTGTTATCTTATATGTGATTGGCTCGTCCATAAATTATAGTCTGGCCGTTATTTGACTTATTTAAGCACAGAAAAAAGCGTATTTGTCACAAGTTTTCATCAGTTAGGGTAATAGAAAGGCTAAGGTGAACTAATAAGTTATTTTATCCTAGTATAGTATTTCTTAGTAGAGAGCTATAAAGACAAAGTTGTGGGGTGAATCTTCATTACTGAGTTCGGCAAGAAGCCTGATGATCATCCAGTGTTTTTATTAAGGATTGTTTAATTCTTAATATAAGCGAATCGAACCGGTTACAATTACCATCTAAAGCTTTGAAAAGTTATCTCGAACACCATGATGTAGAACGAATCAATAGATATTGAAAGTGTAAATCATTAGATCTTATCTCGATGATCTAAACAAAATATGATTACCACAAAACAGATAGTTCGTGAGTTCAATCCATCCTCAGGATCATTACCGAAGACTTATAAT